TCCATGGCTATCCCAAGACAAGAGGGCCATTAGAACCATTGTAAGCTAGACAGGGAACAACTCTGTTTCCAAAGGAAAGGAGAAAGTGACTCTTTCGTCCTAAGAGAGGCAGGGCTCTCAGAAAGTCCATGCAAACTTTGACATTTGACCTAAACGTTAACTTCCGGCTTGCGGTTAACGTCAGTGATCGCCAGTGAGCGTAAAGGGTCTGTCAAAACCCCACAGTTGTGATAGTAGAACATCCAGTGTCATCGTCGTTCGAAGCCATACCGAGCCAATTCTGCCATGATTTCAGCCATTTTCTGGAAGGGTACGCATTTGTAGATGTACATTTCGACGACTTGTGTAAACAAAAGCAAATAAACACAATAGAGCTTTTGTCAATTTTTCAAATTATAGAGTTTCTGTTTCGTTTGATGAGACAATTTATTGTCCATACAAACCGCGACGGTAAGGAAAAAACTACCATGGCGACTGTTTTTAAACACGCAATGAAAGCGGCTAATATTTAAGAGACAGTAGCTTCCGTTTTCATTTTATTTGCCGAAGTCCGTCAATGATGCTCCAACCCCAGATGTCGGCTCTACTGACGTTTAAATACAGGTCCGATGGGTCAGTAAGCACTTAAACAAGACTCACGTGCCACTTAAACCACCGGTTTCATGCTCTGGAAGTTGCGGTTGGGAATGCGCAGTTGCATGTGCAACGGCGTTCACCGATCTACCGTCATGGTAAGACAGAAATTGACATTTCAGTTTCGCGTAGAAACTCCTAATCGACGGCCTTAGAATCCGAGTGGGCTGCTCTGCTGTTACGCCAGATATAAACAGCGACCACACAAGGGGTCATTGCAGCCATCAGTCATGTTGCTCCTAGTCTGTGTGATTCCATAATTGTTGCAAACAGTCCAACGGATATCCGCATTGTCACCTCTAAGATTGCGCTTCGTCCGCAACTCCGCTGGAGGCTGCAAGGTTAGAGCTCCGCCCAGGTAAGCCGAAAATTGCTTGGTTGCCTTTTCACTTTGCTTATTCTTGCTTGCTTTTTGTCTGCCTGTTGGTATTTGTCCGTGTTATAAGCTAACTGCCGTTCTGTTGAAATAGTCTGCTCATCATTTACATTTCAGCAGCCAGTTAGCTTATAGAGGGACGGGAAAGCTCTGCATCCCGTCTTTCTACCCTTCTTCCACTCCCCCCTCCCCCTCTGCAACCCCACGGCAATGTCGTATTCAGGCCCAAGCTAACTCAGGTCGCTCTCTCACTGAACAAAGTCGTGGCCCTTAGCGGAATCCGGCAGCCGTCTGGGATGTCTGAGCAGCCTTATTTAGGGAGCGCACTGCCGACCCCTGCGAGGGAAAGGGGCGAGAAAAGGTGTCCTAAACAAATACTTGGATTCACGACCTTTGCGCGCTGACCGTGACCGCAGGCACAAAACTTACGCTCGGAACGAGCAAACCAGAAACATCACCCTCCCTTCCCCCCTCTCCTCCCCGCTACCCCACTCGCCAAACTGGTAGGGTGAGTCCGCTCACTCTGGCAGCACCGAATGTTCGTCCCCTTTTAGACAATCCGAGGAGCAACGGAGAACGGCGCTAATGGCTCGAGAACTGGTGCGCTACAAGCTGAACATCGCTGCACTCAGTGAGGCCCGGGTCTCCGATCAAGGCCAACCGGAAAAGGTGGGTGCCGGCTTCATCTTCTGGAGAGGTCGGCCCACAACAGAGCGACGGGACGCGAGAGTCGCCTTTGACACCCGGAATGGCATCGTGGGACGACCGCGCTGTCTGCCGCAGAGTGCAACAGGGCTGTGTCCTCGCGCCTACCCTCTTCAGTCTCATGTTATCTGACATGCTGATGGACGCCTACCGTGACGAACGCCCCTGGATCGGCGTCGCCTACAGGACGGACGGCCACCTTCTCAACCACTGGCGGATGCATTTCCATTCGCGTGTATTCACAACGACCGTGTAGGAACTTCTCTTCGCCGACGATCGCGCAATAAAGGCCACCTCGGAAGGAAACATGAAAAGGAGCATGGATCTATTCACTACCGCCTGCGACAACTTCGACCTCGTCATCAACACAAAGAAGACGGTGGTTATGCATCAACTACCACCCAACGCTGCCTGCGTCGCACCCCAAAATCAACTTGAAGGCGCCTAACTGCAAATCATGGACAACTCCGCCTGCCTAGGCAGCACCCTCTCCCGTGACACCAACATCGACGACGAATTGGCCTGCCCAATTTCCAAAGCCAGCAAAGCATTCACCCGTGTGGAAAACATAGTCTGGAATCGCCACGGTCTCATTCTCAACATCGAACTGAAAATGTACAAGACAGTCATCCTGCCGACGCTGTTGCATGGAGCGAAGACCTGGATGGTGCACAAGAAGCAGGCGCGGAGACTCAACCACTTCCACCTCAGATACCTTCGCAGACACTGAAGCTGAGTTGACAGAATCGGGTCCCGCACATGGATATACTGGAGCGGACGGGCATCCTCAGGCGGTAGGCCATGGTGAGACAACTGCAACTGCGCAGGAGCAGCCATCTGATGCGCATGGACGACGAGTGGTTACCCAAAGGATTCTCCTAGGGAGATGTCGCTACGGGTTCCCGCCGACAAGGAGGCTAAGTTCGTCCCTAAAAGTACACCCAAAAGACCTCCCTGAAGCCTCCTCAGATCAGCCCGGTCAACTTAAAGGCCTCGCTCGAGATCGACCGACCTGGGGGAGGAGGACAGTGAAGACAGGCCCTGCGATATATGAAGCCAACCGCATTGCTGTCGCCAAATCCAAACGCGAGGCTCGCAAATCTCAACTGCGCCCACTCTGCAACTACAACATCCAACCGCCTTCTTACTCTCCACGCTGTCAGCGGACGTTCCGTGCACCAGTCGGCCTGCTGGGATATTTTCTTACAAATTGCAGCACGCGGACTCCCCGTTTAACTCTGCCTCATTCCCCTCGTCGGCAACTAACACTGACCGTACTCCCGAACCCAGATTACCATCCTCCTCCTTCTCCATTGCGTCAACATCTGCCGCGGCAGCTCCCGTAACCACCACCACCACCATCACTGCACACAATCCTGACACACAGATAAACATCAACCTCCCTACTATCAACGCAGGCGATGTGGACTCGTTCTCTAACTGTCCACATTGCGACCGCACTTTCACCTCACACATCGGCCTGGCCGGTCACTTGCTAATCTATCGTACAGCTACTGGCGAGGCAGTACCTGGAGCACCAACCTACACTCACCGCCTTTGTCTACACTGTCCCGCACATTCATTCACCGCATGGGTCCATTCGGGCACATGCGTATCCACGAGAGCGGCATTGACCGGCCCAGCACGCCCACCACATTCAGCTCCACCACACTCAGCACACCCACCATGCGTAGTCCAACGCACAACGCACATCACCAGCTCCGCAATTGCCACTACCTCTGAAACCGAGACTGACAACGCCGACTCTTCCTGTCTACACTGTTCCCGTACATTCGCCTCATACATCGGCCTGGTCGGTCACTTGCGAATCCATCGCACAGAGACTGGCGAGCCGGGGCCTGGAGCACCAAAATTCACCGGACGCAGTCCGCCTCAACTGCTCTCACTGCACCTGCACAAGCACCCACCTCGTGGGCCTATTAGGTCACATGCGCATTCACAAAAACCTGCGGTAGATGACCGCTAACCACACCACACTATCACATCTTCCCCCACTAACACCTGCATTACACAATATCAGCAGCCACCACAAGCATCCAATTGGCATCTCCCACATAAGTGTGCGTCTCGGCTCCATTTACATGCGAATCCGAGTGCAAGACTATCACGGTGCATCAAGTACCGTGGCTTGGAAGGCTACTGACCGACGCCCCAATTCAGTCCGCGCAGTCTGCCCAGTTGTGTGGTGTGGCAGACTGGTAGGCCGAGAGCTACGCTGAAACGAGTCCTTTCTAACGTGACCTGCGGTAATCTCACGCATGTGAGATGTTCGTCGCTCCACTCCCGTTGTGTGAACTCCTGGTACTTGTGTTTGGGGGCCAGGTGATGTATGTGATGTGCTCAGACAAGCTCGCTAGATATGTCGGCCACTGTTCTCAGTCTTCGCGCCTGTCAACTGATCGGCTCCGAGAGTGATTGGGGCCTAGAATGGAAGTGAGAGTGATGTCGACGACTTAGCGCATTTTCCTCACTGTAAACAATCTGATGCGCTTGAAGCTATCACGGTGTGCTAAAAGTCATGTTTTGGAAGGTTGCCAGATGACGGAATAACTTGGGCCTCGCAGTCGGCCAACTGTTGTGTTTGTGTGGAGCGACCAACAGGTGGCCAAAGAGTCAGGCTGCAATGGCTCCTTCTTCATGTGGCCTTTATGGCACCCCAACCCCGTGGGATCCGAGCCAGGTGTGGCGGCACGCCTAGGTGCGACTTCGGCCGCGTCGGCCACCCTTTTGTTGTTAGTTAAAATCCTGGTCAATTGTTGCGTGGACCAGGAGGTATGGAGTGGAGCACCAAGGTGCGGGATCGATCTTGACATCCACCCAGGTCCTCCCCCACCTACGGTCTTCTTGACTTTGTATTGACACCGAGCCCAGCTGGGAGAGGAGGGGAGGGTGCGATAGATGCTTCACAAGTCTAGATTTATTATAAACTAGATCACGTGCAAGTCACCATATCTGCTTCATTTTGTTGTGGAGGACGCGATAGACATCGTCGTCAACGACCACTGAACTATCGAGTCCATAATTATTCTCGTATATATGTGTGCACTCGTTAAGCGGATGTTCAACTCATACGACTTACAGCACCCATGTTCAGTACCCATCGGTCGACAGGCCCAAACGGACTACTGATGATTGCGAGAGCAAAGCGAGTGAGGTCAAAGCGGAGGCCTTCTTTAAGGCCAGTCCATGCGTTCAGAAAAAACTGATGGAAAGAATAAGTACTATGTTAAAACATGCATTCAAACATTGCTGGCAAGGTCACGTTTTCCAGTCTGAATAAACGCTGACATCCGTCGGGAATGTGCCGGAAACTACGTCCAGCTAGACCCAGTGGCTTCGCAACACTTATATAGTAAAACTAGCGCTATCGGGCTTATCATCACGGGCTAGTAGTAATGGCCTATGGAGTTATCAAATGACGAGATAGTTCGATCCTTCTCAGGATTGTGGGACGGTCTACAATAGCCTGTTATTTATGTGACTGCTAGAGTGCCCTCGGTTGTGTGAGCCTCGATCTGTCAACTCAATGCGGCCTAATGGATTTAGACACCTCTTCTTTTGAGGCACTCGTGAACTTACTTTTTGGCATTGTCAGTCTGTGCACCCACATCCGCCTCCGGTCTTCTATATCCTATCTTCCCATCGGTGCGTTGGAGAAGATAGTGGGATAGACTCTGTGCACATCCGCCTCCCTATGGGCAAAATCACACCTAGGCTAGCGCTGTTTGCGGTTAACTCGTGGGACAGCGGTGCGCGGCGACGCTCGAGACGGTCAAACACTTCTGTGTGTACGTGTTCGTCCGTGAGTATATGGCCCCTAAAATGGGCCATGCTTTAGTTGCGCTGGGTCAACACGGGAGCCAGATTAGGCACGCCCCGCGTTAAACTCTCAACACAGACTCAGCGCATCTCATACTAAATGCCTCGCAAGGGGCGTTTATGGCACGCCTAGGCGCAGAATGCACGCCGACCAGCCGACTGCGTCCAAAGCCAACATCAAATGGCTGGCTCTGACAGGGGACTGGTGCGTGGAAAGAAAAAGAGAGAGAGGGATGAACTCCACAAACGGCATTCCCACGACAGTTCGACGCATCCCTCATCATAAACAGTCTGACGCTCTTGAATCTACCACGACGGACTAAGAGTAATGGCTTAAGGGTTTTTCAAGTGATCGGGCAACATGGTTATTAAAGGACGAAGAGTCAGACTCAAAATCTCTTTCTGACTTTGGCCCCTATGGCACACTCTCGGACCGGATCCGAGCTGCCACACCGTCATTATGGAAAGCCTGGTATCTGTCTGTGGGGCCAGGTCGTGCGTACCACGCGACCACTGACCACGGTGGCCAGGCCCTTTTCCGGTCGTTCCGGTTGTGTCCTTCGGTCGGGCCCAGATGGTCGCGGTAGGAGAGAATGCGAAAAATTCAGCGAAAGTCTGTCATCACTATAAACTAATTCACGCGCAAGTCACCGTCCTGCACCCACAACGCTGCGGTGCGCGTGGTGGGCATCGTCGTTCTTGACGTTCGAGCTGGCGAGTGTGAGAGTGACTGAGGCTTGCCGTATGTCGATGAGATCGCCAGCACATGGGTGGCACACGAGTGAAGAGGCGAAATTCCTGACCAGTTACGGCACCCACGTCGAGCTCAACTCGTCTTGAACCCGTGTGGCCGTCGGACCTCGGCGGATGTGCAAGGAGAGGCTGAGGTAGATTTAAAGAATATGTATTTCACCAAAAAATATTTCGCACGCTGCTTACCTTCAGAGCCAGTGGTGATCATCGTCATTTTTTTCAGACGAACTCTCGAGCTGAGTCCATTCCGATTGTAGCATCGTATAGAACAATCCAAAAAACACGTTCTTGATGTTTTGCAAGGGGTTTTAGCAAGTGGAATTCTCAACTAATGAGAAAATTTGAATTACGCCTAAAAGTGGGATGCGGCTTCCAATATACCCGGAAAGGTTTGAGGGTGTCGGGAAAAATTGCTTCACTCAGACAGATGTGGCCATTTAATTAAATGCATTTAGTTGAGAAGTACCAAGTTAAACTGGAAAATGATGATTGTCTTCATGCACAGATAACTGCGTTCGAAAAGTCGCGACTTTCAGTTAAGAATACAAAACATTGTAACTATTGTTTTAAAGCCCACGTTTCGTACGACGATTGAGCCATGACAACATCATCTATCTTGCCAGATCACAAGGTGGGATTATATAACTGTCTCTTCTTCCATCCACGTTCTCGCTTACCCTCCAATGCTCTGTTATTTTCCATTAAATGTGCGCTATTTGATCGACATAAACCCCTTCGTATGAAGTTCTCATCCGTGCCCTGCATTTCTGAATGCATGGAGTAATCCTAAAAGCTGCAAGTGGACTGCAGCACATTCACGCATGTTTGATAGAGACATAGGCTTGATTTCGACCAGTGTAAATTAATTTTGTCACTTTTCGAAAATTCTAAAATGCGCACTCAATAAGATACTTGTGTGCAGAAACATGCTAGCGAAATGCCCGCTACCCAATTAATCCGAAAAGAAGACCAAGCATAACGAAACTTGCATTTTCGTCCACGTACGTCAGTGAAGTAACGTCAAGGCCTAGAACCTT